GGCACATATGTTAACTGAAGGAAAAAGTCTTATTCAATGGAAGCTTGCAGGAAAGGTGTTAAATCTCAGTTTCTCCACAAATGAGAAATATTTTCCAGTCATTATGTCTCTTTCTTAACTTGGCATACATACAACTACTCTGTGCTTTGATGTGCTCATTTTGGACTCAGAATGCTGTTTGTACAAAGAGCAAGGCATGAAATAAGCCATTAACAGGGGCAGAACTGGAACTTTTAGGCCAGGGGAAAAAGAGCAGTGTGTTTCTCAATTCTGCCAGGATGAACAAAACTTCACATCTCTGCATTTTGTTGTATTTATCTCTAACTCGCCACTGTTTGCTTCAGGAAGAGAAAATGTAAAATAATTTTTTTTGCTGGTCCTGTTTCTTAATATGGCCGTGTCTGGATAGGTCTTGCGGAATTACTACACAGAAAAACATGTCAAGGGTAGATGCCACAGAAACAATAAGCCCCACAGCACCAAAAAGCATACTGTTCAAGAAATCTGCAAATCTAAACCAATAGTGGTTGTGTGGTTTTCATGACTGACACCAAACTTCAAGCTTTGAAAAGACCATGAATATTCATTATCTGTGATAGTGGGACTCTCAAAACCATCCAAAACTCTCTGATCCATCCCTCTATGTTAACTGGTGTCTCATAACAGACTTGGGAACAGGAAAATGAGCTTTATTTCTTTCATGTTAGAGGGAGGAGGCTCTGCTGGAATATATCAACAAGTAAAGCTGAAAAACGAAAGTTTTAGCACTGACTTTGATGAGAACAAAGTTGGAGAAAGACTGAGAATTTCAGGAAACCCCATTCCTTGTGAGCAAGTAACGACAAGCAAGTTAGCACAGTGCCCTCAGAGAAGTTAGCCTAGAAAGCCTTGATGGCAGAATCGTACTCTGACTTCTATAAAGCTTGGTCCAAATCCTATCTTAGCTGGCTCCACAGACTTCTAAATACAGTACTCTGGAGTGACAAAGGAACCGCTGAGATCAGTCAACGCAGACAGCATAAAAACCTTTATAATGTCTGGATATCTGCAAGCCAATCATGAAGGCTATCAGGCTAATTATAAACCGCTGGTCTCAGCCAATTATTTCCACAACAGGTTCAAGAAGTATTTCCAAGCACTTACTGGATTGCTTATCTTTCCCTGGGGTTCTGCAATCTTGCCCTATTTACACTACTTTATGTACAAACCTCTTCATTCATAGCATTTATTTCCTTCTGCAGGCCAAGGGACTTCATTTCTCTTTCCTAAAAAAAGACATCCCAAAATGCCCAAAGCCCAAATAACATCCTGTTATACAAGGAGCCTGTATAGATACGTGTAGTGGGAGAAATATTATCCCAAGTGTCTAACTGCTGTTGTTTTCTGAGTTAAATGCTGCTATAGAAAATCATCCTAGGTGTCTTTCTGCTGTTCTATATGCCCAGGATACCCTTAAAAATCTGCCTCTTCCATGCTGAGATGTCTCAATGAACAGAAGAACAAAATGAGGGAATCAACAAAGTATATATTTTTTACAGCAGAATTTATTACTTAAGAAAACTGCAGCTGAACTCTTTGCAACAACAGTACTTATAAGAGTCAGGGCCTATTTCAAACACTGCTGAGATAACAGGGCAACACCATTTCTGGAGGAAGAAGCCTGCATCCAGTTTGCTCACAGTGTGGGCACAACGATCTTGGGTTTGCACCTGCCTAAGTGGTCCAAAATGCTTCTTCACAAATACAGCCTCCTAAATCAAAAGTTTATCCACGCTGCCTCTTAAACCAAACAAAGGACAGACTGTATTTCTTCTTGAAAACTAGGAAGCCACTGCAAAATATCTTATGAACAGGACTGCAGTGGGAGATGGCCAGGCTGTAAGAACTAAGCCGCTCTCTTCCTGACAATGTTAGTAGAGAAACACTAATGCAGGGATCTTTGTTAGCATAATGCCTCCCTGCTGGAAGTGATAATACAAAAAAAAAAAGCAACCCACCAACAAAAAACAATTCAGAGACCATGCTACTCCCGGTAACATCCCTTTTTTTCCACCGCAACCTTAATAGAGGTGATGGTACAACCATTAGTTGTTCTTGATCTCTCACCCACTGTAAGCCAGAGTAAAGGAGGATCTGTGTACGAGAACAGAGGGGCATGTACTATTTGCAACTTAAAGGGGCCTGAACTACCTTCCAGTTTAAAAAAGGATCTCCTCTTGAGTCAGTGAGATTGGGTAGGCAAAGAAAAACATCATAAGAATGAACCCATGTGGCAGGATTTCTTTGACACAATGAAATCCCTCAAGGGATCCAATGACACCCAGAGCTCGCAGCCCATGCTCCACTGAGCCACATCTGAAACTGTCAAAGGGAAAACAACCCCCAAAGACAGGCAGATCTGGAGGCAGACAGAAAAATGAAGAGATCACCATATGCCTTCAGAGTTTTTGATAAAGGAACAAGATCAGCAGTTTGTCTGGTTGCACACATACTCGGTAAGGTGAAGCAGCTGCTCACTCTGCTGGCCTCGTCACACACAAGCAGGGACCCTCTGTCAGGGGAGAAAAGGGAAACCCCTTTCACTGGGCCGTTTCTAAGGCCTGTAGCAGGTACAGAGCAGCTATGTGGCTCTCAGAGACAACTGTATGGCTTCCAAGCACAACGCTGCTTGATGTACAGAAGGAACACACTTGCTGTTCTCAGAGAGGGACCAAGGAGAGGAGGCCTGGATTAAGCAGAGCTCTTCTTCCCGTCCTTTCCACATTCACACAGGACACAGTCACCAAGTTCCAAGTAATGTGAGCAGGATGTTTTAATAGTAGTACCTCATCACGACTCCTTTTTCAGAGCCTGCTGTTGTATTTACACTTACTCCCTTCTCTTCCTTCACCCAACCTATTCCCACTTGTTCCCAGCAGAAGCAGTGATATTTGTACATAGCCTAAACTGAAAGCTTGTGTGTTTTGCATTTCCATTTCTGTATTGCTCTAAAAGGATTGTTCAATTCCACATAAAATGTCCTTACCATTCCAGGTGGTTTTCAACAAAGGCAGACATGGGGCTGATCTGTACAGTGTAAGTGTCGTTGGCTGAATACTCAAACAGCCCGTAATAGGGATTGAAGAGCTCCTGAGAAAGAAGGAAGAAGAATTCTCGGGAGGGGCCACTGTAGTCCAACCTGGAAAGGAAAAGGTAAAAAGACAAAATGAGGCTCATTCCCATTTGAGTGAATTTCCTGGGTTTGGCCTGCCTTGGCTGCTTTCCAGTACCTACCCCTGCACAGTTGAGTGTTTCTAACATGGTGTGTATCTCCTCTCAAAAGTTGATTCTGAGCCCTGAACAAGTCACGATGCTGAAACTTCACCAGCATCCAGGTTGATATGGGAGGAATCGTAACGCGGACACATCCCTTAAGGAGTTTGTTTTCCTTTGTTCCAAAGGCTTAGTAAATTGAAGGTACAAAGCTCAGCCTTGCCTTAGCTGGCTGGCTAGCAGAGGGCTAGCTTTTTGTGAGTGGGTTGGAGCTGCCTATGGACACCTGGGTTCACAGACCAGACAGCCCAGACTGAAGCAGAAATTGCTCTTACTCTCCCACACTGAGATGGAACCAAAGATACAACCTAGCCCCAAGGATGCTTTCTTAGCTATAGGTATAACCTAAAGGTCAATGCTCAGCGAGATCAAGACCGAACAGAACTGTGTCTCTTCAGATAGAATGGTGATTCCTCAGTTGTTCCATCCAATCTCTTCTACTTTTCTGACAGTTTCAAATACATGTGGTAGATCTTACGCTGTGCTTTGCTGTTGCACAATTTTGCTCTGCAGAGATTCACCTTTTCATCTTTTTTTTTTTTAAGCTCAACTTCTAAATCAAGCTGTTTCCCATTATCTCAACTTGGAAATAAAAAACCAAACCTCACCAGAGCTTCATGAATGCATTAAACCCAACTGTGATGGATTTATTAAAAACAGATCGTCCTCTAATAATGGTAAGTAGGTTTTATTTTTCTAAAATAAATCTAAGCAATATAAACAAATTATTTGTAGCCATGTATCACGTGTGCCAAAAGATATTCTGAGGTGGGCACTATTCCTTCTACTTAACAAATGTAAAGTAAGTGGGGAAAACTCTGCAGCTGGATCAGAACGCTCTGTATTATGTTTGAAGTTACAGGAGCATAATCACAAGGGGTTGAATGATTGATAAAGGGCAGGCTGGCCCATCCTCCTCTGTTTTACATCTGGAGATGCCGTACTTTTCTCTCTGAACACCTTTAGCTCTAGGATCATGCGGTAAGACTGAAGCCACAACAGCAAAAGGGGATGGTAATAAACCTGCATGAACCACCAGTGCTAAACCACGTAACAGATCTGGTTCAGTGGACATTAAAATACTGGGCCAAGCCTGATGATGGCTGGAGTAAAGAACTACAAACTGTCTAGATTTAAAAACCTCCACGGAGAGACCAGGTATTGCATTTCTGGGCAACACACGAACACATCATAAAGCCTTCATAGTTCATTTCCAATGTCATTTTAGCTTTGAAACACGTGGGAAGCTGTGCCCATACAGCATCAACTCTTCTTTTCAGTAGGAAAGTGGTATCTTGGAGTCCCTCCAACAGAACCTGAATTAGCATTAAACAGCAGAAACCCTGGGGGGATGTATCTTCAGATGTAAATGAAGCAGTGAAGAATGAATGAATTTGCAAATCAAATTGTTTTGTAATTTCTCCTGAGGATATGGTGCCACACACAGTAAAAGTTACTAGAGATGTGGGGAAAACAACATGACTTTGTCAGTGTTAGCATACTAGCATGCTCTTCCAAAAACGCAAGCTGAGGTATGCTGCATGTTTATACTTTACTTGCAAGCCAGAGGCAAAATGAGCTGTGAAAGACGACCTCTGTTAAATAATACTGAATCCAAGGAGTATAAAAACTAAGAGTTAAGGAAAACTTTGATACTGAGGTCACTGAGTGACTCTTTTTGAGACTGGTCACTTCTGTTTTCCACTGGACCTAACAGGTCCCCAAACTCAGCTTGGCAGAAGCTCTTCAGTTGACAAGCCACCTCAGAGCTGACAGTGTCTGCAGCTGCTGGACATGCTGAGAGCTGCCCCAGAGCCTTGCTCTTCTGGTACCTTTGGAACTGAACTCCTATCCACGTGTGGTTTTTTAAATTTTAAAGAAATTTTATATACAAAGCTACTGAAATATGATTTCAAGCCTTTGTTATTTGGAACACTGGAAACAGGCACAATGGTCTTTCCACGATAAAAGCATGTGGATTAAACCTTAATTACAAAATAGCTCTTGAGGTGAGCCAGGGTGGCTTTGAAAGCTTCTGTTTAGATTTGGAAACAAAAAGTCTGAGGCTGGCTTTAATCATCCAAGAATGGCTCATGGATTTTAAGGCTGGCAGAAAGTCTCCTGAGAAAAGGCCTTCTCAAGAGACTTCTATTACTTTCAGCTTCCAACTGGGTGAATTAAAGCGTAGGGACTGACCAGTATTCATGTTCCTCACTTCAACCAGAAACAAGCAGTCCACATATGGACAACAAACGATCATTAGATGGCACGCAAAGCAAAAATTTTTGAGGCAAAACCAGATTAATTTTGAAGAGTTAGAGTAACAAAAGTGGTAAAGGACTGGTCTCTAATTATAGCCCTGAGACTGATTCAGTGTGTAAACATGGGCCTGCAGCTTGCTTTTGCCTTTTAGCCAGTCAGAATACCTACAGCAACAAGATGACATTAGATTTAACCACTTAAATGGTCACTTTGAGACATCTAGATGGAAGGTGCTACAGGAAAATGAAGCATTATTGCTATTGTTATTTTTAACAAATATTTGAGCTGATTAAGATGAATCACTTACTCAGAGGTAAAACAAAACCAAAGGAACATGACATAACAAGAAAGGCTCAGCCTTAGTCAACTCTGTTTTGCAACATAACAGCTACTTCAAAACTGATAGCATTTAGTGGTTCCCTACCCTTCCTCGCCAACAAACGTGACGTAGAGTTTGTTCCGCTGGAGCTCCTTGCGTGAATATGCCATTACCTGGTTGAAGGTGCCTTCCAGCAAGTGGTCACGTCGTATAATTAACCTGCAGAAGGGAGGCAGAAACAGAGATCTCGTGATTGAGTCGTGTGAGGCTGAAGGTAAACAAGAGCTGGTGAAGAGAGACATTCATTTTCAGAGAAGTTAATAAAGCTGCATCCACTGGTGCACATGCACATGACCATCATGGGTTTTGAGCGAGTTGTTTCATTAGGCTTTTCTATGTGCCTCAAAGGTGAATTTCTTTACAATGCTGAGATGAGGTTCAAAGTGTTGCTCTACATAAGACTCTCTGTAATACCCTCTATGTACAAATGTATATGGTAGTGGGGGCCGTGAGTTCCTGTGTACATGAGGTCACAGATTTCTGGGATTAGCCCCAAGATCCTCCTGGATTTAATCCAGTGAACGTCCATGGAATTACTGCTTCTGTAGCAGGGTAAGCAAAGGGAGTATCAGCTTCTGTTTATACAACACACTACTCATTCCCCTGCCAACCTCTAAACCAACTTAATGAATAGTACATTTAAAGAAACCCTTCTTGTTCGTATGTTCATGGACGTTTTAAGAGAGACCTTCTAAAATGTATTTCCTGTCTGCCTTGGACACACTTAGCAGGACACCAAAAGGGATAACCTGCAGCTAGGACTCCCCAGCTCCGTAAGAATATTTTGATGACGATGTTTGCCTGGAATAAATTGCTTGGCTTCATACTTCTTTTTCCCACAGCAGATGTGATTTGGTAGGAAGCCAACCTGATGCATAAATTCAACCAGATGCCCACAAAATACCTTAAAAACATACAGTCCTTTGGCCAAATTGGATAACTAGATTGAGCACAAGTAGGTACAGACTCAAAAGCCAATTAACCAGATGTCTGTAAAGCAAACTCCACAACAAAGTGGCAGAGATCCCCAAAAATACATGAAGAGGGGCAGAAATCTCTCTAGTTTCAAATCCAGGAGGGCTACCAACACAAAGAACTACTGAAAATTAAACCTTCATGTACAAGCTAACTTCTGTGGGGTCATACTCTGGTCCTGAGTTATACTGAGATGTAGATCCAAAGGATGTGGAGTCACTCCGTCATTACAATGATGCAGCTGTTAATCTCTGGTGAACGTTTGCCCAAATAGATGATTTTCCTACTAGCAAATTACAGGTAGGAATAGCAACATCTCTGTTAAATATGTAGGGAATGGAGTGTAAGAGAATATTAATCAATAAGAAATAAAACTTCCAGGCAAAAGCCTCCTGAAGGTCACTCTCTTGCAAGATATCCTAAGATCTTACCTTGCCCTGATGGTTCATGTACAAAATGCAATCTCCGGTGTGTTCCCCACTCCCTATCAGTGTCTTCATTCATAGATAAAGGTAAAGCTACACCACGTTAGACTACTTGAGTGACTTGTAATACTCACTTAATTTTACCTGGACCTTGCCCATACCCTTTGGCTTCAAGTTTTCGATAGAAATTGCGCAGCTTGGCTTCAAAGTCCCTCCTGTATGGAGAAGGTGCTCTTGCACTTGCTCGCTGCAGTCCTAACAAGAAAACAAACAGCATCCTAAGGTGTAAGGGGCCTTAAATTTTTCCCAATCATGCAGCTGATCTGGTTAGCAACTGTGTTAGGTGCACTCAGTATTATTTTTGTTCTACTTGGCATTAATGAAGTTGTAAATTTCTAGAATTCAGTGACTGCAATGACTTCCGGGGCTGTATCTTCACTAAAAGAATTGTTAAGCACACCTTGTGTTTGTCTTTGTGCTGCCTCAGCCTCAACTGGGATCTGAATGGAAATTCAAGGATTGGAAAGGCATGAGAAAGACTGACATGCAGAACTCCCACTCACGGTCTTGGGTATTTAGGTTTTCTTTCCCTTTTGCAGTTTTAAGAGATCTCTCTCCTCTGCATTACACAGGAGATCCCCTTACTTGGCAGAATTAAATCTCTGGAGCTCAAAGCAATGCTTCTCACTGGAGCCTAGCACCCTAGCCAAGGTGGGAATTGAGTTTCCCTGCGATAATCTGACTGTGTATTAAACACTTCCAGCTATCAACACAAAACCCCTTTGTGGCATGGAGAAGGATTTCTGTCAGCAAGAAATGCTACTATGATGATTCACACATACAGCAGGTTTTTAGCAATTTGGGACCTGTTTGGTTTTGCAATCTGCATTCTCAAAGTAGCCGATCAGTCCTCTTGTATGAGCAAGTGCCATGCCATAAAGGGTCAAAGGATGGATCAAAGAAATCCCATTTCCCTATCTTGTTACAGAAGACAATAAAAACAAGCCCTTTTATATGAGAAATCTGGCAGAAAAACCTCCACAGGAAGGAAGAAAAAATAAAAATAAAAAATCACATTTAGTGGGAGCACCAGGTATTGTGGTTGCCAGGAGGGAAGGACATTACTAATTGTCTTTGCTGGTAGAACGTATTTATTTACATGCAGTGCAGAGAGAATCCCTTGCAACACTCCTGTTAGACCTCCTTATCCCCCAGGACATAAGAGAACGGGTGCTCTCACGGGCTATATAACCAGTGGCAGAAATAAGCAGGCAGACTCTATGTTGCTGGAAATGTGTATTTGCCCTTCTTGTGTTTTCACAAGAACAGGTAAAGAGCGGTGCAGTTCTTTCAGCATTCCCCTAAGTCATGTTCTTGCCGAATACTTTGATTTTTGTCTTGCAGGAGACTTGTTTATGATCCATCCTGATGCAGAGGAGGGGAACTGTACTAGCAATGGTGTTAAAACTCATTAATGAAAGTACAACGTTCTGACAAAACTCTCCTCCTGTAGATAAGGGTTCAGCATTCACCAAAAAACCTTCCAATTTTCCACTGCCACTTCCAAGACTTGAATGTCTCCTGCCCATTAATTTTGTTTGAAACCAGATAATTTAAATTAATGTTAAAAAAGCTCAGCCAAAAATGGATTTCTTCAGATGACATTTCTGTCAATCCTCTGAGAACAGCCACTGGACACAGCCGTGCAGTGAGGCTGCGGTGGGGGCTGTGTATCTTGGCAAAAGGGAGTCATTAGTTCCTCCAATTTCTGTAGCATAAACAATAACTACGGAGACATACCACAGCTGGAAATAACCCTCTCATACACCATGTCTTTCTGGAAAATACATTTCCAGTCAAACCTAACTCAATGGGCTCAACAGGGGAGGTCAGACTGGATGATCAAGGTGATCCCCTCAGGTCTTAAAATAGATGAGTCTTTGGGGGAAGAAGAGAAGTCTTTGGAACACCGAGTGGAAGAGACTGAACTTTACAGCAGTACTGGAAGTATTGCAGTGCACCTTTGATTTGGAAACTGCTTTCTGCTCCTGTCACATAACATGAATGTGCTTCCAGTGAGTTGTATTTGGAGTGCACCATTCTCTTATTCTAATCCTTTCAAATTATATAAAAACCAGGAAAATAATTCCATATGGGCAATTTCCGATCTCTGTGCTTTGTCTGCTGTTAACATCTCAACAGGTACATGCCAGCAAAAAAGCAGCTGAGGTCAAATTCGGAGAGGGCACTGGAATTAGCAGGCTGACAACTGATGCTGGCTCTGAATCTGCCCCTCAGAATTTATTAGAAGAAATACCACAAATGCAAGATTTTCTATTATTTTCCCCAGCCCTTTACCTGGAGAATTCTGGGGTGATGAGCAGGGTGAGCAGCGAGGAGAGAAACTGTATCCGGGATGGAAGGCAGCCTGCAGTGGTATGTAGGACATAATATCCTCTTCAAAAAGGCTGCATGGAAAAAGGGATAGGGAGAGGTTTGGTTCACATTCGTGACATGAAGGAATGTAAATATGCAGTATGGTGCAAGTCTGCTGTGGTCCTAAGTTTGGGTACATCTCTGAACTCATGGATTCATAAAATCCACAAGTGTCACAAATCAGGCATGGCCACCAGTAACAAAGAAGAACAAAATGAATTTTATTAGACATCTCACGCTAACACAATGGCTCAATCTACTGATAGAGAATAAAGATCTGGGGCTATGTAGTAAACAGGGACAACTTCAGCACATTAGAAGTGAGAAGCAAAGATACACACATCTGTCTCCCAGGTTATTTTTCTTGGGTCACACACTTCCAAATAGCTCAGCTCTTTGGATTAAGTTGATGGGAATAAGTTGTAAGCCTCTTGCATTAGGCAGTGTTATATACAGCACACCAAAACCACCTGGGGAATGCAGCCTATTCCATGTAAGACCAAGACAATAAAGTAACTCCTTATCTGAGCTACACAAAAGCAGCTAGGGTCTAAAGACCAAGCTGCCTGTCCCAGTAAAGATTAAAGCCCTATCTACATTGCCCAAGCAATGCTCACTGCACCGTACGTCGAGGTTTCATTAGTGCCACATGGCCCCGTGTGTGTGGGGAAGCACTGCTGCAGTAAAACTAGCCATTTAAGGAGCAGTTACATTATTTACTTGTACTGAGAAAGACAAGTTTGAGGTTTTTTTAGAAACAAACAAACAAAAAAAACCCAACAAGAATTTAACAAAGTCTTTCCAATGATGCTGAGAAAGAGTTGGCCACTTTCTCTGGTACCATCAGTAATGACATTATGCTTTTGATCACGTTGATTACCTTAGCAGAATTACTAAATCGGCATCACAGGACAACTTTTCAAGCCCATGTGTACCCTCTGTCCGAATGTAATGGATCTTCTCCCTGAAAAATAAACAATCTTATTGAAAAAAGAAAAAAAAATTAAAAAAGGAAGAAAACATGTCAGTATCAAGGCACGAACTGCGCACAGAATTATTATTCCGTGGTATTTTGCCAGTTCCTGTTTCTCTCCTTACAAAAATGGCCAACATCTTAATTGCCTGATTAATTTTCTAATCTCACTAATAAACTTGCAAAAGAAAAAAAATCTATTTATATCACTCAGTTTCCTGATTCAAAAGTGAGAGATTTTATACTATATTTTAGAAGACAGGAGAATTCTTAGTCCTCCAAGCTCATGTGTAGCACTATAGCTAATGTCACTGACAGACTTTTGTTTAAGGCTACAACTAATGTAAACACCTTTTGTAAACAGAATTTCACATAATACCACTTCCTTTACCTCTGTCAATTTTATCTAGCAAATAACACTGTAACGTATACTTGATATTAATTGATCACATAGAGGTTATACAGTACTTGTGTAAAATCATACATTTGATTATTTAAATGAATGCTAGTGAGTAGGAACCATAGGATAGGATCCTATCAGCAGATTAGGACCATGGAAGGTACAGACCTACACCCCAATCTGTCAGTGGGTTTCTAAAGCATTGCACTGTCCAAGAAGGTTCTAGTATCCAGTCAAAGGATTCCACCTCAAGTCAAGGATCTGCTTTAGCACCTTGTTGGGCGGGGCTGCAATGTATTGCAGAATCAAGTCCTGTAAAAGATGGACATCTGTCTCCTAGGAATTTGTGTTAGACCTGCTCTATGAGCATTAGACAGCAGCTGTGGATCACTCCTGACCTCAGGTATAATCAAAGCAGTGACCTGGAGGCAAAGGGCTCAATATCCTGTTACAAATCTCATTACGCACTGGCTAAGCTGTCCAGTCCCTATCACTAGTCAATTTTGTTCTCTGCTTAAAAGGAGATAAAAGCATCATCTGTTCTCTGAGAAACAAGAATTCAAATTACAGCTGAGAAAAAAAAATAGTCTGGAATAACTCGATGGTGAAGATAAAAAATTCTCAGTTACAGAAATGTACATCTTGAATACTGGGAGCATTTTTCATTCTGTCTCCTTCATTTTATTTGAATGTATTAATTCCTCCAGGAAGGAAGTCTAATCCTTACATGCAAAGAACTCTTTGTCTGGCCCTCACAGGTAAAGGAGCCAGTAAGGCTATCAGCAGAAACAACACTGCAGGAACTTGAAGGTCCTTCCCTTGCTCTTCCTCCCCGCCTTCACCAGCTCCACAGCCACACTTTTTACTGCACAGTACAAACTAAACTCTTGGTCACACTCTTAGCTGTTGCACGCTGGCATTGCCGAGACTGACTAATGCCAGCTTAGGTTCTTGGCCAAAACAATTTAACCTTTGGAATTAGAACGACTTACAATTGTACTGGCTGTTGGTTTTTCTTTCTTTTTTTTTTTTTTTTAAACCTAATAGGAAAGGAACAGGCGTAAGAAAAAGAAAGATACAATTTAATGACTTTGGAAAGGACTACCATTAAGTCATAAGTGAGAAAGATTAAAGACAGGAGTACATACTACTCATAATGTTCCTATTTCTTTATAAAACCTAGGGTGACTATGTCCATGGCATGGGTGTAAATCCAGTCAGGGGGTAAAATCCTGGTTCTGCTGAAGTTACTGGGGTTTTGCTGCTGACTTCCATCCAAACACTAATTTAACCCTCTCTTCTGAAAAGCAAAGTGATAAATGTAGGTGAAGACAGGGCGTCTGCTATTCAGTAATCCCTAGAGTGGAAATTAGATATGTCACTATTTGCCCATAGTTATGTCAGTTGTTCTTAATTCTTGGGTGTCTGTGGCAAATAACTATAGTAACTGCATAGATTCTGCTGGTCTACACCTACTCTTTATGGTGACAGTTCCATCTGGGGACCAAGTTCCTCTTTTGCACTACACTCACTAGAATTTGTTTTTCCCCCACTAAAAGAAGTCCTTCCTGGAACTTGGTTTCAGCAGTCTAGAAAAAAATGGTACCTGAGTGCATGGTTTCTGGCCAAGCTGGGCTGACGTTCCTGCAGCATCTCAAAAATGTTGGGTTGGCGTAGAAATGCAACAATCTTGTCGTTGTAAGCTGGAAAAGGAAAAATAACCACATTTATTTACCATTGAGGGGTCCCAGTCAGGTCACCCTGACTGCAGGGGCACCTGCACTGCTAGTGAGGCACAGGGCAACATGCAGCAGTGCACATGGTTGATGAGAAGTTCTAAAAGGCACCTTTGTGAGCGCTGTTTTGAAAAGAAGAGAAACCTGGCTTACCCAGAGGTAGTGTCTCGTGATGGTGCTGGTTTCTAATAGCTGTTACGAGACTATTGCCTGGTCTGGCCAACAGAGTAACTCCTCTGTTTCGAGAGACTTCGGAGGCCTACAGCATCAGAGGAGAGAGAAAGAATGATCAAAACTGACCATTGGTAGCACATCAGTCAGTAAAAAGGCTTCTCATCTCTACTTCTGTGACTTTCAGCAAGGTCCATGATGCTGCCTGACTGAAGGACAGAAAACCTGCATGAAAATTGTAGCTTTATACTTCAGCCAACTTAAAAAGGGGCAAGTAATTCTGTGCTTCCGCATGGAGGGACACCATTACCCACAGTTATCACACCTCTGATGCTGCAGTGAGGCACCAGAATCCAGAAGCAAATGCAAGTTAATAAAGGTATTGCAGTGACGGAGTTCTCCGGTTCAATGAAAAGCAAATCTCTGCAATACCATACTGTCTCTTGTTCTAGCATAACTGCATTTACTCCAAGGTTTTTACAGCAGCATTAATTTGAAAAAAGAAGAAACCCCGCAGCGCTGCAGCACGCCCACTCAGCACTGTTGAAGGAAATTTAATACTGGAAATAACATGAGGAAGGTGTCTCTATGCAGATCACAGGACAGAAGAGGGCTATTCCGTCGCAAGAGGGGGCTGCCTAACTTGCACAACCAGAAACAGAAGTTGAATTGTGTACATTGATAAAAGAACATTATGCAAAGAGCTGATCAAGAGAGTGGCGAGAAGGACATTTATCACTGCTTAACTGAAACACTTAAAGAACGCCACTGTCCTGAACACAGTTCCTAGCAAAGGGAATCCTGTCGAGACATTACAAGGTGAGGAAACACTTAGGAATGAAGACATTAAAAGCCATGCAATGAGGTCTGACAATCTGTCTTCAGTAAGTCATTAACTTGCTAGGTGACTCTATGGGGACCTGTGCAAGCTGAGGGAAACCCATCTCTCCTATGTCTTCCTCCAAAATATGACCATGGTGAGGACACCCTGTACCAGAACAGGAATTCCAACTGCCATTCTGCTGGGCTAATGGCTGCTCCTTTCTCACTGCACAAACTGTAGTACTTGGCAACCACTTCAGGAAGAAATTGCCCCTGCTCCAATATTTTAAATGCTTAGCTCTGCATCCAAGCAAATGGTGCCAACCCCTTTTCAGTGGTACGGCCAAATGCCAGCTCTTCCAACTGGGTAGAAATGAAAACCAAGAAGCTAAATGTGATTGGCAAGCTGCCTTTGAAGCACGTAATGCATAAAATGATTATATGTAACAAGATACAATATATAGTTAAACAATGAAAAATCTTAATGATTCTAATTAAATGTACCATAATTGAAAGCACAGAACTGCTGTGAAAGGGCACAGGAAATGCTTTGCTCCATCGTTCAGTTATGATTTCACTTGAACCCATTTTATATCAGTATGGATCTGCTGACTACATCAGAGCTATCCCAATGTCAGGGAAAACAGTCAAGCCCACGGTGTTTAATGGACTGACGTGCTAACCTTGGTCCAACCCTCCTCACTTTTGAAAAGAGGAAGAACTTTCAAGCAGGTCATACACAATTCACCAACTCCTTCCGCCTTCTTCTCCTCACACTCCCATAGGCCAACAGACACCACAAGTTCAGCTCAGGCTTAGGCAGCTTTTGCCCTGTGACCCAACCATCCACCCTGACAGGCACTGTGTGGCCTTTCTGGCTTTCACGCTGTGCTAGGGGAGGAGGAGGCAGCTTAGGTGCAAGAGGTGCCCTATAATCCAGGGCCACAGCGGGCATGAAGCCCTTCTGGGAAGGGCTGTCTGTTCCTTGGGCAGCAAAGTCAAGGCCACACTCTGGGCTGTGATGGGCTGTTAGTGAGGACGTGTGGGATGTGCTAAGGCACCGTGGTGTGCTCAGCTCCTCCACTTCAGGGAGCTCTGGAGGCCAGGTGAGGATGGCTCTCCCCAGCCCCCTGCAGAACTCGTGTGTGAGTGTGGATGGAGGGTGAGGCTGATTTTAAGGGTGGTCTCATGTTTGGCAAAGACAAATCCTGTGCCGTTGTTGCTGCACACAGATGTACTGAATAGAAGGTAGGAAGGGGGAAAGGGAGGTGTAAAAGAGGAGTTAAACCTTCATCTCCCACAATAATTAGCACCAGCTGGTATTTGCTTTTCACTTGGGAACTGCGTGGTACTTCTGCCCAGCCTGCCACTGCATCTGCCCCTTGCTCGTGTCACCTGATTTTGTGTTTTGGTTGGTTTTGTTGTGGGTTTTTTTGTTTGGGTGTTTGTTTTGGGGTTTTTTTTGTTGGTTTTTTTTTGTTGTTGGTAGCTCTCCAGTGCTGCTGAGTTGTGTGCCTGAACATATTTCTCCTGAAGCAAGAATTCTGAAAGGAAATGTGTCTAGAGCCCGTGAAGAGAAACCTTCACTTCCCCCTTCCCTTCTTCCCAGTTCTGGTTTAACAGCTGAATCTGCTATATTGTAAGAATCCAGTTCTGTACACACCTTAAAGTAATAAACTGCACACTCTGTGGTGCTGTACTTCTCTATCACCATCACTAGGCATCACTGATGCTGTGTTTGGATCATGATCTTTACGCTTTTACACCTCTAAACATTTTTTCTCTGGCAACTCAACAGGAAAATTCCCAGTTGTCTTATTAACTTCTGTTTTGCTAGCACTCCTCTTTCCAATCTTTTAGCTAATACAATACAATTGATTGCTGCAATTCAGTGTTTAATCACAATCTCCTTGTCCACTTTGACTTTCTAATTGAATAATTTAATTTAGATTAGCACACTATTCTCTAATTAAAAAAAAACCCAGTGACCTCTCTAATGATTTAGTGATATGGTTCATCTAGTACGCAGTAATCCGACAGATTTATGGCAGGGTTTAACAGCTTTGCAACTGATCCTGGGATGTTACAACCAGAGTGGAGAGCTCAAACTATCACAGGAGCCTTTCAATGATATAATGCCCTTTCCTGGGTTTTGTATCACTGCTGGACTTGAGAGGCTCCTGCCTGTTTGAGTGCTGCTGCTTCCTACATCTGCTAGGGAGTATATTTCTTCAGAGCACAGTGCCAGAATGAAGAAGGATAGGAGGCTGCTGAAGTATCAGGCTATAAAAGCAAGGAATGACTTGCCTTTACTAAAGCAAAACTAGGATGTCAAATATAGATTCTTCTTTTAAAAATCTATTTTGCCCTCATTTAATCTTGGTTATTTGGTTTTACTTGTTTATTATTTTATTCTCAAAACGGTCAAAATATAAACCTTCATTACTAGAAAGCTCTGAGATAAACCCTTCGTAAAGAAAAAAAAATCCCTTCTTTCCTTTGGAAGATAAAAATCCACCCAACAGTCTGTTTAGTCACATTTCAAAGGTAAGAAGTGCTTTTGATTCTACAGAAGATTGCTGTCAAAAGGAATTGTATTGATACTAGCACTGTTACCTCTCCAGCGCTGTAGCTACGAAGTCTCTGAAGATGTTGCCTGTGAGTCAGGTGATTAGGGAGACGACCATTCTGCAGCGGGATCCTGGGATCTATGAAAGTGGTAGCACGGCTGTTGTGGTCAACGAAGAAAGACTGAAACACACAGGAACAATGAGGTTTTTTTGTAAGGAGATTGCCAACACTGTGATGGTATTTGTGGGATCATAAAGTGAAAACCCCTGGTGATTGTGTGTCAGAAATACCCTGTTCAGGCACAGTCCATGAAGATATCTGCAAAGGACAGGACTTTCTTAGCCAAAGCCAGAATAACTCCTGGAAAATACCTGAAATCACATACAATGGCCATGAAGTAAACAAGACAGAAGAGAATAAAATTACCAAGGAACACAGCGTATTTTGTGGTTCCACAAGTCACTCAACAAAGCTTCACTGGAGACAGAGACACTAAGCCAAATTCTGCCATCGTGACAAATCTAAACACTGGCTTAAACTTTTGTGTTAGTCCAATGCTGCCTTGGCTATGGTGTGATATTCCACAGAAAGTTAAAGGTCACCATGATGCTTCAAAACATTTGTTCTTGAAGCTTTTTTCTGCTTCTAAAGTATCTCTGCCTGCTGCTTGTGTTGTTTTAACCAAACCTTCACCAGTTTTGAGTCAAGAAGGAAGGAACTTCTGGTGATCAAGTAGCCTGATGAGCTGTGTTAAACAAGTGATTAGTTTTGCTGACACTCTTACCTTGCCCTGCTGATCAGTTTTTATCTCCCAGCCGCGAGGAAGCTCCAGTCGGGTATCAGCAAACATGTTGATAAAATTTACCAGGTCTCTGTTGTGCTGATAGCGCTCAAAATTACGAGCATCTCTACGGATCTTCAGAATCATATGCTTCAAGCAGGTACTGTTAGTGAAGACTCGATAGGCACTCTATGAGACGGAAAACAGAAGTGAGGAAAACCAGCTCTGATGTCAAAACAACATATTTGGTTATCTCAGGGGACATATGCCCAAAGAACTGAAACAAATTCTGTTAGGAGTCAAGAACTGCTTCCAGCTCATTGTTTTAACTACTTGACATAAACACCTAGAAGAAATACAACCTGGGAAGTGAAACATCCCACACACATTATCCACAATTAGCTGGTGCTTGAACATCCTGTCTAACGCACTCCAAAAAGACAGTCAGCTGAACCACCACACACTCAAGATGCAGGTAGTTGGGCCTATTTCATGGCTTTCATTGGCCACCAGAAATACTGCTTGTGTGATTGGCGATGCCAGGGAGATGCAAAGACAGCTGTGACATGTGTTTGTGCTCCAATTCCAATCAAGATGCTTGTGATAGGATTAATGAACTTAGAGAGGACTGCAGTGCAGATGTCTGCATCTAAGCTTGCTACCTTATTCATGGTCACTTTATCACCAGAGGACAGAAACAGACACTTTTAATTGTCTATTTTTGGAAGATACGAATCATTTCCTGGAACTGAGTATTTGTTTCTGCAATGACTACAGAGCACGTCAGACAGAGATGGTTTCATGAGTCAGGTGAACGCCATGGCTCCCGCAGGTAGCTGTATCTCACAACGAGCATCAAATACACCTCTTGGAGGAACGTGCTCTGAGTTAGCGCTGAGCTGGTTGCAGAACAGGGGCCAAAGTGAACTGTATTTGTTGCCACAGTGTGCTCCATGGTACAGCACCACAAAATGTCTTTGTGGTGACAACACTTTTTCTCATCCATAGGCTACTCTTGGGACCTTTTACTTCAGGGAAAAAGCTCCTCAAGACAGGGTAGGAATCTACCAAAATCTGCAACCCTTCTGAGCAATTCACTAGAGAGAAAATGGGTGCACTGGTTCTGCTGGGCAGCCCAAAGCATGTAATTACTGGAGTAATAAAGGATCACTGGAGCTGCGAGTCCCAGCGAGCCCCAGTGGGTGCACCTGTCATCTGTCCAGAGAATCTGACCCAACTGCTTTGAATTCTTAATTTCTGTGCTATTTTAATGCATTTTAACCACTATAATGCAATATAGCATTTACAAGCATTATCTTTATTAGGTAAGGATTTATCGTGGTGGTTAGCACTGAGAAGAAAATACTCTCTGCAGCACAGGGTCCCTAATTATGGCAAGGGCTGGCAAATATTATGAAAACACAGAGATATGATCTCTGCCCTGAAGATATGACCTGGTTATAACCCAGGAAATCTTCATGGTCACAAAATGCTCAGATCCCAGCCCACTCCATGGCAGAAGTTGTATTTTGATCTAATGTGTGATCAGTGACTGTCTCAGTATCTCTTTGCTGCACTAGGGAAACAAAGATGTAATGTAGTTTTATACCTCCATGGAAATAAAATATCTGAAAAATGAGAGCCTTTCCCTTTTAATTCTCACTGCTGGATAATATTTTCCAAACCTGACTTCACTGGCATAATTAATAGCTTGAAATTTTAATGGGGGCTTGTGGTTAAAATATTACAACCATGTTAAGCCAGAAGTTATGTGGGTCATTATTTCTGCACAAGTGGAATCTGTATGACCATTTGACAGATATTTCAATAGATTCTTCTGGCTCTCATATTAGAGACAACTTTATAAGCTCAAACTGAAGGCCTCTCTCTTGCCTTTTTTTATTTCAGGAAGGAATAAAATTGGGATTCAGTCTGTTGTGAGCTGTTCCTTACACCACTATGGAATCAGCTGCTCATTTTGCGAACAACTATGCTGAATGAAACTGATACTGCTCCCAGCTATAAAGCATCATATATCACCCTGCCAATGGAAGAAATTACGTGCACTCCATAACCTAGTTCAGGTAAAGTCAGATAAGTTAATGTATCTCTTCCTTTGCAGGATTTCATGGGCAAAAATCTCTGGGAAGTGCTTGGAGATGGACAGCTGGCTTCCACCTGCACAGCACCAGAGCCAAAACTTGATGTCTGTAGCTAGCTAAAGACCTGTGCTGAGGCAACTCCTGAAGAGTTTCAATTTCAAAAAAAAAGAAAAAAAAAGGTCATCCCTACCCAGAAATTGATTATTTTCCAAATATTCAGAAGTCACACGCAGATGCTTAGCACAACTAGGTTCAAGATATGGAAAACTAGGTCTGCATCCCTACCTGCTTCCTCCTGGTTGACCTATCACTACATTTTTTCTACTCCACATCAGGTTTGCAAGAAAACATGCAGATTTATTGAATTAATGGGAAAAAAAAAAAGTTATTTGAATTTTTAAAAGTTCATTTTCATTCTTGTGTTTTCCAAAATGGCTACACTGACTAGAGTTAGTATTTCTTTCACTGCATTATACCATCTGCTTCTTGGGAGTGCAAACTGCAGGAGTTAATAATTTTTTCCGCTCTATTTCCCTGAGAAATAGGTGGTATCTGAGTAAGATTTCTCAGGAACAGGTAACAGCCTCACTCCATGCAGCAACAGATAATAGAATCAACCAAGCCAAAACCAAGGGTTCCTGCTTATTCTGGAAGGATAATATTAATGAGATTCTCTGTGCCAGAGAATTCCTTGTGCAAGGCAGAATCCTACCAAGAGTCTCCTTGGAGCAGCGTGTCCGTACTGTCCCCAGCCTGGTCTAGTGCTCAGAAAGGACAACTGAGCCCTGAGTCACACAATTCAAATTCAGGCTAAATTCAGTTTAGGGTTATCCTAGTGAAACTATCACACTGTGCATTCTCCCCAAGGCCTGGGGTGCAGCGTCTGGATTCAGAAATCGCTGGTGTGAGAGAGCAAATCATAATTACTCACATAGTTTGCATGGAGCACAGTGAAGAACTCGGGATTGGTGATGAACTTCACAGCTGGAGACTGTAGCAACAAGGTGATTTTTTGAGAATTCACAGGAGAAAGGGAACCTTCCCTCCTAACCTCTGGACAAAACAAACAAACAAAGGCAGCAAAACCTTATTAACATCGTGGTAAGCACAGTCTGTATTTAACCTATATAACCTGAATGGCTGCAAAAGTGACGCTATAAAGAGGTCACCATCCTGCTCAATGCACCCACCTTCTTTCTGTTTCCAAGACAAACCTGCTTGTGAACTGGTAGATGTTCTCCTTATGGTCAGTGCTCACCGTAGCAGGACAGGAGCTGGATGTTTTTCTGACTGTATGTTATAGAACTCTGTGTCCTGTCTACTGCTTTCTCTAAATATCAATGTGACCACAACAGTTTTTACCAGCTGATGGTTTGGTTCAATATGGTCACCCAGGTCCTAACCAGTTCCCCCTACTGTTGATTTTAGAGAGATCTGATTTCCTAATCCAGCCTGAGGGGTTCACCAGCAGAAACCATCTGGTAGCAAGACTGGGTTAAGGAAGGTCCCTGCTCAGCCACTCACATCCACGTTGGTGCTGCAAAGCATTGCCCTTTACTTGTAATTGCATTATTTTTGGCAAGTCCATGGTTTTGAGGACTTGTATGGTACAGAAAACAAAAACAGACACAAAGGAATTATTTTAAATCTGTGTCAATTCGTGAAGCACAGGAGCAGAACTGAGCGTTTGAGAATGTAACCCTGTAGAGGTGGGAACTCCCTGACCTTCTGGTCACCAGAAAAATGCTTCCTACCATGGAATTATGGCTTGAGTGTACAGTTCTGATGTTTTCAAATACAAGCCAACTTCTATTTGCAGTCCAAGGAAATTGGATGCAGACATCATCAACAGAAAAAATATAGATTCCTGTTTTTTTCTTATCAGTTATAACTTTTTTTTTTCTTCCTGCTAGACACATCATATTATTTTATCCGCTTAAAACTGCAGACTGGATTCATTGCTGGAGTTAAATTGATTTATACTGGTTTAGAATCTGGATTAATATGCCTAACTTGTACTCCTTCTAACATTTTTCATTTAAATTAAAAGGCAAATAGCAAATGTCTCATACTGCAGCTTTCTCTTACTCTGGGTTCTCCCTGTAACATCCAGTGTAGGTGAAAGGCTCCCATAAACTGCAATATAAAGGACTGCAAGGAAGCTTTGAATATCAAACTTGGTCAAAATTGATTTTCAGGCTAAAAACACCTAATGGATCAGGAAAATAAACAGTAGAAAACTGAGTATTTTTCTAAACTTGTTAAAAAAAAAAGTTCACTATTTCTCAGTGTAATTCTTCTGTTCAGCGTGAACATGAAGAAAATTCAAGCAGATACTGTGTTGGTTCTTTCCTTTTGCCAATGCTATTTACAGAGGGATGGCAAAGGGGTGGCAAGACGTCAGACTTACTTCCAGCAGACAACACAGAACACAGAGTAACACAGAGTTAGGTGGAGGTGAGCATGATCCGAAGGAAGAGAACTGGCCATTCATTTTGGTGGTGCCAGCTCTCAAAGATAGTTATTTCTGCATGTCTGCAAGTTGCATAGTGGGCAGTAATCTGTTTGCTGGTGTTTCTTACCCGAAACAAACACTTAGGCTACGGTTTCACAAATGTTTAAAGAAAATATGAGTATAATATCACCAAAAAGAGGAGAACAGCACTCTGCTCACCCCATCCTGCCCTGGGTACACGTTCTCCTGTTCTTTGTACCCACACTCATTCTTGTCATGTAATGAGCCAGATGAAAGAACCAAATCTGGCTGTAAACAATATTAAGTACAAAAAACAAGGTTATTTTTCAGGCAGATCAGTTCTCTGCTCTGGTATGGGGTGCTGTCACACCAGTTAGTGATGAGCAGGAAGGCAGCTGTGCCTCCTTCAGTGGCAGCCCACGCTGAGAGCAGCTATCACAGAACTGCGGCTTTAAAAGCCAAGTATTTCATCCTCGATACCAGGGTCACTGCAGGTGCCACCATATGTGCAAATGTGGCAGTGCAGAAGCCATGCCCAGAGAGAATAAACTGCAATGCCCCCAAATAATAAAAAATAAGAATAAAAAAATCACACTGCAGCAAAAACGAGACAGCTCTGTTTTTGCAACTATAAAGCAAATAAAAACCAGATGCCTTCTCCATTTCAATTTCAAATAGCCCTTTACTGAAGTAAAAATAATCTGTCTGTCTTCATAGCTGTTAAAAAGAACCGAAGCCCTTTGTATCTAGCTTTGTACATGTAGCTTCAGGTCTAAAACCTGTAGCTTCAAGTCTAAACCTCTTTTCTCTTAATTAGCTTTTGCAATCTGGTATAATAAAGTTCCCATCTCCCGTGGAAACACAGATTTCCCCAGAGCTGCATGCTAGCACCGAGTGGGACTGAACGTGCCACTCCGTAGCGTTTTTCCCCGGTACCTGAGCTTGGCTGGGAAGGCTCTGCCTCAGAGTCACTTCCTCCTCCGGTGGGAACTCTCTCCACCCTGTTGTTCACTACAGCATCATCTTCAGTCCGCTCTGTTGCAATAGTTCGCTGGATATTTTGGTATCTGGGTGCATTCAGAGAAAGGAACAACACGCTTTAGTTAACACAAGAGCTTTCTGGTGCTTTATACCTTAACAATCAGCACTGGTTGTGAATTATTCCAAGACTTCTATCTTCAGCATACAACAGAGCAAGAGCACACCCAACTTGTCTCCTTCAGCTGAGGTAGCTGCTCACACTTGGGCCAACTGTTATTCTGCAAATATGGCATTTTGCACTAACAGAGCTACCGAGGGTGCAAAGCAAGGAAGACTCAAAGGTCAAATGCAGACAGGTATTTACTACAGGTTGCTACTACAGAATCATAGAATCTTAGTGGATGGAAAAGACCTTTAAGGTCATCGAGTCCAACCATGAACCCAACACTACCAATTCCACCTCTAAAACACGTCCCTGAGCACCACATCTGCCCGTCTTTTAAACACCACCAGGGCAGGTGACTCCACCACCTCCCTGGGCAGCCTGTTCCAACTCTTTTTAAAACACATCTGGATGTCTGGAACCTAAAACTACTGCTGGATCACAGTTCCTCCTCTCATTTAGCCTTACGGCAGCATAACCAATCAAGTAAGGATCAATCCTGTGATGCCCCGAGTACCCTTCTGTCTTTCTTATTACAACACTGGCTGCACATGTTCAATCTTAAAAAGGTAAAGGCTATTAAGAGTGTCCACAAAATGTTTATATGATCATGTATGGCCAACAGTTGGGAACACTTCCTTCTTGGTAGGCAGTATGGAATGTAAACTAGTAGGCAGTGTGACCTCGAAGAGCTACAATCTAATTGATGTGACAGCCACAGAAAGGTACAATGGGATGTAACACGTGAGCTGAGCAAACAGCACGAGGATGCAAGTGTTCCGCCTGTTTTTAGGAATCAGTGGGACTGGGCATTTAGCTTGGGGGGTGACTGGTTACAGAACAAGGAAAAGGACACAATATAGAGATAACCAAACATCAAGTGAGGAGGGCAACAGAAGAAAATTCAGAATAAAAACCTGCAAATGTCTTAAAAAACTCTCATGTCATTTCCATACTAATCATGGAACTAATTGCCACATTAGTTGATGTCAATGAGACTGATCATGGTCTTAGAGATGAGCCCAAACCTAAATAGTTTACCAGATCAGGAACAAAGTATATACCTGGCTGTGGGAATAACCGGGGCTGTTTTGAATGAGCACTACACAAAACAAATCCTAGATAACTCGTTCACTCACACAGACAGATGAGTAAGATGAGAGATCAAGATTTCTTTGGTTCTACTGGCAAGCTATGAATATGTCTTATGTATTGAATAATATTTTATACACAGATAACGAAAACAAAAAAGAAAGCATAAGGAGAAGGAGAAAGAAAGAAGCAGAAAGAAAATAAGATAGGCTATCTTAATTATTTTAATTAGCTTTAACTCCACCCCAATATTTTTAATCCTTATTTCTGGATTGCATTTCTCTACGTATATAAAACAAGATGGCTCTCCTGCCTGCATTTAATCTGATCCAGCATTGTTTGTCTCTCATTTGCCTGACTTACACTCTTTTCTTTCTGCAGCTCAAGTTGTGCCTTACAAATTTTATTTACTTTCTCTCTCTTTATTTGTTAACGCACACTTTATTCCAAATTAGCAGTTAGTCAGGAGTTAGTTCCTCAAAGTGACATGGGATCATTAAAGACAAGCAGTTAGGGTTTGGCTTTTACATCTCTCAACAGACACTACCCCCAGTAGCTCACTGCAACCCCATCTTGGGCAGAAGTGCTGGAGATAATGAAGAAAAACAAAGTTTTAATAGATTTATGTTAAACTTTCACAGTACTATGTGTGTTCGCCAGTACTGGAAGTCATTTGAAGCTTCCTTTAGACAGGTCAGTAAACAGCATCTTTAGAAGGTTTTTTTTTTTACAGTTGGGGGTTCTGTGTTTAAGGGAACATCCTTCTTTACAAGGAAATTCTGACAGCAGGTTTCCCAACAGCGTGAATTTACTGCAGTTTTAATCCCTCTGTTTTAGACCCACATTTTAAATTTTTATTCACTTGACTGGAGGCAGTTGAGTGAACTTTCCATTCCAGTACTGGAGGGGTTTTACAACACCCACACGCAACAGAAGAGGGCGGGGAGGAAAGTAGTTCATATAATCAAAGGATATAAGCACATATATAAAAAAAAGTCCTTATAGCTTCAATTTAATTAGATGGTAGAAAATCCCTACTGGCAAACCTGAAAGAGTAACAGCAGCTGTATGCCAACAAAAGGCCACATTTTCCTTTTAGGTCTCAACACTATAAAATCATCTTATATAAATACCAGAAAATTACAAAAGAAATTGGAGAAAACATTGAAAGTGCAAAAGTTATGGGAATGCCTCTGGAAATTTCAGTTTCCTTTCAAAGTGATTTGTCGAAGAAATGGAGGTTCAGAAATACCACACTGTGGCTGTCTCAATTATTACAGTTTTAATTTCTTATGTTACTTATTACCCTTTAAATTAGCACAAAGACAAGTCTATATATACACAGGCTGCAAAGCATCTTTCCCACAGAGCTTGAACAATAAGGGCTGTTACCTGCTTTGCTAACCAGTAAGCAAGTCAGGTAATTCTGTAGAAAATGACCAAGAGTCTTTAAAATAAGAAGTATGGATGTCTCTCTGGAGTCTGCCCAACAGCTGGGTTCTGGTTTTGCATTCCCTGGATCCTCAGTGGCTACTGCAGCTAATGGGAAGCTGGGAGCACAGAAGGAAAGCAGGACTAGGCTCAATCACAGCTATGGGTTGTTTTTTTCTTTCAAGCTCAATTTCCAAAGCTTTGTGGTTTTGGCTGGGCTGGAAATACCAAGCTTCCTTGTAATATTTTGGTCTTTCCATTCCCTTCCACAAATAAAAGCAGGAAGCTGAAAAGTGAGTAGATTGGTTTAAAAAGAAAAGTCGTCAAGTTTTTTCAAACTGCTAAGTGATTCTGAGTCCAAATTTTGTTTGAGGTTAGAGCAAAAGTTCAGGCTGCTGCTAATTCTGTCAGCAAGGTCTACGTTTGCTGTTGCCTCACCTAAAGTGATTCTCAGGTGTGTTTGCTGAAGAACATCTCAAATAATGAAATCTGAAATACAACAAAACAGTATTTCTAAAATCAGTGTTTAAAACAAAGCCTGATCCTTCACAGCGCTGATAATAGCCATTTATGAAAAGTGGTTTTCCTCATGATCCTGAAATCTGGAGACATGAAATATCTGAAATGAGCTTTAGGACAACAATAACCTTAAAAATGGTAACAGCCAGGGTGAAAATACAGAAATGCCTTGCCACTGACAAACACTCAGAGATTCAGTAAGAATCTCTTTTACTAGAACCTTAGGAAATGTTCCCAAACTTGGGAACAATAGGAGACCTCTATTCAACTTCTCAAATCAGCAGGTATCTTTGGCAGAGAGCAGAATCCTCAGCTTTTTCCCCCTCTGTCCCAAGAAGCCATGACAGTTCATATTTGTTAGGCTGCAAAGTGCTCAGTCTGCAAGAGGACTCGGATAAGGAGAGGTGTGCCACTGCTGCAACCCTCTGTGCTTCTCACTTGGATACGTGAATACTAAAAATAGAGAGAATCAAAGAATGTCCATCCTATTAACTGTCGATTCCCAACCTGAACCAGTGATCATCCAGTCACAACCAAGAAAGCCAGGCACCCTACATGAAAATGTGGAAGAGTAAAGTTGGAAGCAAGGAGGTCACAAAGACAACACCTGCCCTTCAGCTTCTGCGGAGATCGCTGGTTTAATGATTCACTTGCATTAACTAACAGAATGGTAAATACCTACGCAGACCCTCTCAAACACTTAGTCCTTTCCAGGTTGTGCTGCACTTACATGAGTTCAACATCAAACCCCCCTTTTTTAGCTGATGTGTGCCCACAACAGAGCTTTCTGCGGCAGGTAACTTGCTTAAGTGGCAGCCACATAGCCTGAGCTTTGACATGGCCCAAATCCCTCTTAAAGACAAATACTAAATGGCAGAACAGTCATGTAAGTCCCTTGAAAGAATCTACATTAAACACTCACTTTCTTTAGGATTTTATTAATATTAACATAGTAACTTGACACATTCCGAAAAAGCTGTAATGAAAATAAATACTGAGCAGGTTCTTTCACCTCTGCAAGACATAACACATTATGAAATGCCATCCAAAATAATGAATTTTGGTGAAAAAAGAGAGATATTCTTCAAGAGTGTGTTGATGGTGTCAACTTATGTTGCAAAACGACCACTTTAAGAAGGCTGGTATGCTCTCCACATTAGCTTTCTAGTTGTTGTCATTCAGGGCCCAATTCTCTTTCCACACAGTAACCCCCAAACTATTCTGGACTCTGAAAAGAGCACTTTGAAACTCTGCATCCTTCTCTCAGCTGCAGACCTTTCTCTTAGCACAGAAAAAAAAAGACCAAAAAGCTTTTGTGGCATTTTGCGTGCTATGATTAGAATATAATTTCAGTTTGGCTTGTCTTTTTCTAGAAACCATATCGTTACAGTAAGCAGGGAATTACAAAAAACACAAAAACAACCTTTTCTGAAGTAAAAAGGCAGGACTTTGGACCAACTGTTTATTTTCTCTTTCCTCTTAAATTCAGTCTGAAAAACAAGCATGAGAGGGAAATGATAGACAAATCTATGTGTGGACTAGTCAAACAAAGGGAAAACGTGCAGCATGTTAAGAGGTATCTCAGCCAGCTCAGAACGAGCTGACAGATTTACAGAGCCCAGTGCAACACTAAACAGGTCTGTCTAGGTCTAGAAATGTCTACAGTCCCATTAGAGCAGCGCTCTGCCCTGCAAAAGGAGACAGACCTTTCAACAGCCCTCACGAGCTTGAGCAGAAAGGCCACGCTGATATGGCAACGCTATTTCAACAACAGCCAGTTCAGAAACCTCCGCGGTGTAGCGCCAGACACCAACCCATTGATACCCCTCTTACAGTTAGATAGCAAAACTGACTCTATCTTTTGGAAGAACACTCCCTTCTCTTCTGGGAGCAATGTAAAAAAAAAAAAAAAGACGTTTTCCAAAAGCTTCTTCTGGCTGTTTGAAACATTTTGCAATATTTTTCACTCAACAGCGCTTCTCATGTGGGCAAGTCTGGGTACTGGACACCCACAGCAGGCACATCAGCAGCACACTGGACTTGGACAAGATAAATCCTTGGGGAGCCAACACGATGCACTGGGGAAGGAAGGAAAGGGGAAGGAAGGAAGGAAAGGGGAAGGAAGGAAGGAAAGGGGAAGGAAGGAAGGAAAGGGGAAGGAAGGAAGGAAAGGGGAAGGAAGGAAGGAAAGGGGAAGGAAGGAAGGAAAGGGGAAGGAAGGAAGGAAAGGGGAAGGAAGGAAGGAAAGGGGAAGGAAGGAAGGAAAGGGGAAGGAAGGAAGGACGAAGGAAGGAAGGAAGGACGAAGGAAGGAAGGAAGGACGAAGGAAGGAAGGAAGGACGAAGGAAGGAAGGAAGGGGGAAGGAAGGAAGGAAGGGGGAAGGAAGGAAGGACGGAAGGGGGAAGGAAGGAAGGACGGAAGGGGGAAGGAAGGACGGACGGAAGGGGGAAGGAAGGAACTAACTATGGGAAAAGGGGAGCGCAGATATCAATTGAATGTCAGCGCAAGTGCTCACCGCCGGTTCAGCTGCTCCATTTGCTGGATGGAGCCGGATCTGTGGATCCCATCCGGCGTTGCTGCGGCCGTGGGGCGCTGCCACGTGGTGGTTCGGTTGACGTGATCAACGTAGAATACCCTCCCGTGGCTGTCTATGCGAGCTTCCCAATCTAGGGGGGGAAAAAAAGCAAGGGGTGATGCTGTCAGTGTGATGCCTTCCAGAAAACCCAAATGTGGGAGGTACATATACACATACATACATATACACAGACAGGGTATATACACAGCAGAGTTACTCTGCACAGAGTCGATGTGCGTGCAATATTACGTGTATATATTCAAAGTATGTGTTCAAATGTGTATATGTACTATGTGCTTGTCTGTATATCTGTATATGCAACATATGCATATACAGTTCACACACCACACATAGGCAGCCTATGGAATTCACTGCCATAGACTGTGAAAAACAAGTGACATAGTGGCTGCGTTTTCTAAAGGGCCGGATAACCTCACTGTTAGTAACACCAGCCAGCTGGCCTCACTGCAGGTCGGGGCAGCCACACAGAACCAACACTCAGTGCAACTAATATGGCAAATCCCCGGTTTTCTTTTTTTTATTACATTTCAGAACAAACATGTTTCATTTCTTTTTTATAAGGTGGCTTCGAAAGATACCAGACAGCAATTAAAGGCTCCCCTGAAATCTGATCACAGTCTGGTTGGACATACCCTTAGAAATCTCTCTGAACAGGTGAGTGTCATAAATTTATTGCTCGGATGAGTATCAACTAGAGTGAAAGTTTGCAGCATAGTATCGAGCCTTCCGTCGTTACTGTTCCCTGCTAATGTTAAGTTGTCCCACGATTGAAAACTCAGAGTTACTTGGTATATGATGGCTTGTGGAAAATGGTAATGTTGGTAAAACAAAAAAAAAGGTGTTTGGAACAGGAGAAATTCAGAATTGAGTTAGCCAGCAAAGCCATATATCACAGTGGTTGCAATGTATGGAGTAGTGACATAAATTACACTTGCTAGCTTCATATTTCTACATGATCCACCAGCTGATGACATATCCATGTAAATATATGCAGGTTCTACACACATTTATATACAAACCTCACTCACATTCACACACAGATCCACATATGGCCATTACCTCTGGGGGCAAACACTTCCTCTTATTCCCATTTCTTACTAGGATACCCTCCTTCCTGATGAGTCCATCCTTTCTTCTAGGGCTTTCTATCATCAAATTCAGGATCAGCTGGATTTCATTCTTTTTCTATTTTATCTCCTATGCTCTAAGAGCAGGATTGAAGTTGTACCTCTTCCTGCTGCATCTGGAAACCTATTCTTCAGGGCCAGTTCCCATCCCCTGAATGCTGGCCCTGGCTAGACTCAGTTCCCATACCTGGGCTGGTCCCAGCCAAGTGTAGGATGTCTTAAATCTACAGCTGGCTGCCCGTGGCATGTTAATCCCACAAACCTTAAAGAGATGGGCACTGGAAGTCCTTGGAGGAGTTTTCTCTAAGACTCCAAAACAACAAGAGCCATATGCACATGCATTATTTCTTTCAAAGCTGACTGTAAGTACCTCAAGTCCTTATAGACGCAAAACCCATAGCCACACCACAGGTACACACATAGTACCTCTCACTCTGAACATCACCATGTCATTTCAAGAAGACCCTCTCTTCCTCCTACCAGGTAAAGTTTCCCAAGGATGTTGTACTTGTTTCAAGAACAAGATCACAGCTTTGTGAAAACAATGTCTAAAACATAAGATGGTGAAAACCAGCACAGATGCACATTGAAGGAAATCAGATTGACACATAAGGCAGGCAGAAGGCCAAAGCCTTGCTGAGCACACTGTCTCTGGTGGCACGTGTACCATCTATGTGATCTCGTTTAGGTTCCTGCTCCGGCAGGTGGATTGGACTGAATGATCTTTCGAGGTCCCTTCCAATCCCTGACATTCTGTGATTCTGTGATCGTGGGTGGGGAATGGTCCTTCTGGAGCTATGTGCTATCTGCAGTTTCATCAAGGAAATAATCTTGGCCAGATCAAAGGTGACATGACATACCTTAACGTCACCAAGATCTTCAGTTTCCTTGCTCTTGTCTGGCAAAGGACAAATCCTAGCCCTCGCCCCACACTACTGCAGTATGCACGTAACAAGTTGAGAATTATAAAGGTTGATGGATAATTAGAAGCTTGTAGGCCATGCTGTAGATCCACACTCTAGACAGCCTACAGAAGACACCAACTGGTCATATTGGTGTGAAGCCTGCTGAGGGACACTCAGTAAGAATAATGCTACCCAATTACACAGTCAAACAAAGGCTTCTCATAATCCAGCCCTGTGCACTACCGGCTCTAGAAGCTATGTTGCAATGTTTCTCTAATTAAACACAACTCAGGAGTTCCTAAGCTCCTAAACATAATATTTAAAAATCTAGGAGCAACAAAACTCGTCCAGAGCTTGGAGGTCACAGTGAAAACATCACGTCAGGATCATGCAGGCTGGATTACAACTTGAGGAAGGCTCTCTCTGTTGGATGTATCAGACACCCAGCAGCAGTACGTACAGGTATGAATTACACCTATCTGTGAGCGCTGCTTTAAGGGTACACACACCTGGAACCAGGGGCTGACACTTGTGTTGGGAACTGTGTGTCACGTGGCTTTTGAGAAACCTGCAGCAGTGCTGCTCCGTGCGACAGCATTTCTCATCAGCTGAACAACCGTTCTTTGGGTCACCCAGGAAGGCTGTCGGGGGGTGGCAGGTGCTGATACTTTGGTTGTACCCAGGTGGCAGGTGCACTTTCTGCCTTCCCACCAGACAACCTCTAAGTCACACAAATCACTGAAGCTGCAGATGATACCAGGTTTGTGGACAGATGGATGGATGGATACCTGCACGGAGAGATGAACAGGCTGAGGAGGTGAACTGACAGACAGAACTCTGCTGCTGAGCTGTGCCCAAGTCCCTTCATGCTACTTCAGGGGCAGAGGTGATCTAGGCAGCAGCCAAATCTCCTCAGGGTCTTTTGTTAGTTTTTCAGGCAAAATACGACTGAGACTACAACAGAGACTAATCTCTATCTAACCTTCCCAGCAAGAGCATGCTGGAGCACAGGCTGGGGACAGGACAGCACTGGTTCTGCTCTCCAGTGATCCCCCTCCATCATATTTCACAGCAGCCTCTGAAACTGCTCTGATTTATACCAGAAGACACCACTTTTTCTGGCAGGACCATAATCCTGGTGGGACAAAGTAAATACAGTGTCTTTCCCTTTCCAAGCTCAGCCACACCTTTGGCAAAGAGCAGCTCTGAACTGGGCACATGGCTTTTTCTTGGCTTCAGTTCTCTGAAGTTTCCAGCAGCACTAGCAAGCACGCACATAATGAGGGGTGACTATTAATGCCGTCATGAGGCTGTACAAACTCTGCAAATCTTCCGTCCGTCTCGTACAGGCCTTAACGTTCAAACTGGTCATTAAGACATTCCTACATAAATAACGAATCTCTTCTACCTTACTTTCCTAAATAAAACTGTCTGAAATTAAATTTCCTCCCTGAGACCAACTGTTGTGGGGTTATAATAAAAGAAAGTTACTCAGAAAACTATTCAAAAGAGAAAAAAGACCGTCCAGAAGGTTCTCCATGACCAAAGTAAAACCAGTCAATGCTGAACTTGCAGCACTGGCAAACCATCTTCAGCTCCACTTATGGATGGAAGCTAATGCTGCATGTGAGAAGTAAGCCAGGTTTGATGATATAACTCAGGTGTAAAATACAAAGTTTCTTTATTTCATATAATAAAAAAAATATTTATCTAGGATTAGAAGAAATTAAAGGCACTGAGATAGTGATACCGAATGCGAGTAGAGGTATTTCCAGATTAAGGCTATAGCTGTCATTTTGAAATTACCTTAACATTTCACAGAGAGTTTTTGAAAACAGGCTTCCTAGCTGATATTATCCAATTCAATGTTTTTGCTCCCCAAATTAAACTTAGTACAGTCTATTTCTATTAAGATCAATATGTTTAAGCCCACAGTATCAGCCTTTATTGTAAAAATGATGCTATATGCAAATGCTAAAATAAAATCCTACATAGGGTTATCACTTCTGTCCTGTCTCATCACACGTTGCATTTCATGTCCTTAAACCCTGTTGTGAAAGCACCTTGAAAAGCAATGGGAGAAATACTTGCCTTTTGAGGATAATTATAAGAAAGAGGAAAAATGTATTAAATTGGTGATGGAAGAATACGGAATAGATTCAGAATACGTTTTGTTTACCTGGACTGGTGTCACTGTCCTGTCATTAAGTCATCTAATGGGGACTGTGCCCTATGCACAAAGTGTTGAGGTAAGAGTGGGAGGAAGAGAAATATTTGCCTGTTACAGAGGTAACCGTTCCCATTTCACCATTCACTGGCAAGCCACAGTGGGACTCTAATAAGACTTCATTGGGCTAAAGGCATTTGAATCATTCATGCTACCGTGCCGCTGACGCCAGCATCGGGGCTATTTTCAGCTGTGGGAATACTGACAGCATGGTTGGTTAATGATGAATTATTTGTCAAGGGCACCATAGGCCAAATAAGTGTGTTCCCTTCTTGGGCATTGAAGAAAACAGAGTGCTTTGTTTATATGCCTGGTTGTTTTTCTGAGGCACTGCACCTTTTAGGTTGTTCAATCATGTGCTGAAGTGGAAAGGTGATCAGCAGCAGGTTGCAGGGCATAGAGTGCGCTCTGCTGGGCACTGCATGCCAATGCAAAAAGCTGGGTAATCCAGAAATGCACAGGGGAAAGGCTACAGAGACAGCAAAACCATCTCCAGCATTGATTCGGTGGCAAAAATCCCATATTATCAGCCTGCTAATCGATCACGCCACGTAAGACCCTCTCAGTTTTATCCAAGGCAACTTCAGTCACCATTACAGTCCCTAACAAACATAAAATTCACTGATTAACAAATCCAAAGACAGTACAAGACCACTCTACACGGGAGCTGCCTTTTCCTAGCTTCTGCTGGTTTTGCTCAGACTTGGACCTGTCCATCCCAGGAGCATCCAAATTCCTGCTGGAGCTGCAAGCAGACCTGACAGACCACAGGGATTGCCATCCCAAACCATCTTTGAAGTTGTCTACGGAAAACTTGGAGACAAACACTGTAGAAAAATCAGAGTGATTTGCTGATACACCACCCAGAAAGCTTTACAGCAGGGCCGCCAGACCACCTGACAGATTCCCACTCATTCCAGTCTAAACACACTGACTGGAAACAGGGAAATACTATTCATTTCATTGAATGGCAGCTAAGGAAGAAGACAGACCAAAGCAGAGGGAGGTTATGGAGCTTGTCCAAAATAACACGACAACACTCAAAGTCAGGATCAAATAAGGGAAACAAAAGGGCATATTGCTTGGGTTCTGGAGAACGTATATACAGGACAGCCGGGGTTATTTAGAAAGACATACTGACCTCTACACTGTTTGAGTTAACAGGAAAAGCTGAAAAACGCAACAAATTAAAAAACTAAAGCTTACTTGGTGGAAGAGGCTCATCGATAGTTGGGTAGTGATGATGGTCAGGCCTCAGAGAAGGAAGCTGGCTGACTGGCTGAGAATTATGGAGTAAAGGACAATCACCTATGGACAAGATATTCAAGACATTGACAGTCATTCACTGTTTTCACAATGTGGTTCAAAAAATGTGCTACTGTAAAACAAGTGATTATTTTTTAAATAGGTTAGCCTAGTGTACTGGCAGCTCTGGTTATTCCTATTTTCAGGCACTGTTTTAATAACAACTCATATGCCAAAGAATTATTAAAATAATGCAGTCGAGGCTCTGATCTCAGGTTTGAGTCAATGCTAAACTATTATGGGCCAGATTCTGGACTCATAGACACACAAGTGTAAGCGAGAGAAGAATCAGGCTTGATCTCTGAGAAATACTGTGCATGTATAACCAAACTCAAGCTTCTGCAGAAATTGGCAGGAACGTGCAAAATCCTGGTTCCAACTTTTAATTCATCCCATCAGTGGGAACATGAGGCTAAAAGCTGCCCTGGATCTTTCTCTGCTTTTCCAAAAAATCAATGGCTCAATAACTGGACTGAAATGGCAGGATTTTGCAGTCCCTGCAAAGCAGATCATCCCCTTCAATAGGTATTTTTTCAAAATTCAAAGAGTCCATATCTCGGGTGGAAGGAGGGAGAATGAGAAAAGGACCAGAAACAGGTAGGAGACAGGTGGTAGAGAAGGAGGACAAAAGATAGTGAGACATAGTCAAGGTCCAAGATAAAGAAGGAAGACCTGAGATACAGAAGAAGGAAAGAAGAAGGAGGAGAGAAACACAGTAGACAGTGCAGAGGAAGTTTTTAAACACTAACATTGTATATACATCTATACACCCAAATATGAAATAAATGAAACCTAAGCAAATGGCCAAACCCACATTCTGCTGAAAGGAACAAGTAACTTAAGATCCAGTCAATGTTTATAGAATCCTTTAAAAAACTAAGAAGTTACAGTAGGGATAAGGAAGCATCCCTCATCTTAGGGAGAATAAGGAACCTGCAAACTTCACAGGTTCCAGAATTCAGATTCCTTCTTGCTTTGTCCTTAAAACTTAGAAACCAGGACTACTTATCCCAGACACATTTTCATATTGTGTGATAACAGCTTTTCATTATAACCTCCAGCTCCAGGTGGGCCTGTTAATACAGACACAATCCAAGTTGCATAAATATAACATTTACTTGCATCAGAAAGATGCAGCTTAGGGGGAAAAAAAAAATATTAGTGTTTCTAACATCACCAGAAAATTACATAAGGACACTTCAAAATTAAAACCCAGACCATTCAGCTAAGCCACAGTCGCTGTGTGCTGGCTGGGTTAGCTGTCTTTAATGTCACAATCTTAACAGCCTAAGAACGAACATTCTGTAAAAAACCCCAAGCATATAGCTATCAAATGTTAAAAAAACCCAAAACAAAACCAAAAAACAACCAAAAATTGTGTTTTTTCTTTAAACAACCAACGGCTGGGAGGGAGAAGCTAATTTTGTATAAAGCTGTAAAAGAAAAAATCTTACACCATCCAGAAGTGAGAAAAATGGCTTTGACAAAAACACTCGCTCCTCTGGGTGCTCTGATGGTACCGTATGGCCTGTTAAACGTCTTCGTGCAACCGCTTGTGTACAGGCGCCGCTGCTGCGTGCTCTGAACAGACAGCAGCGTTACGTAAGTTATTACTCAGTGCTCAAAGCCCCTCTCTCACAGCCTTCAAACTCTGCTGTTACTACAGGTGGAGTAGCACCGACTACCAGATGGTCTATCTAGGTTTCTTTACTTACCTCACCATAATTGACTCTCCCCTAGTCAAGATAGTTACGCCAAGCCAGCGGAAGCATGGTAGGGTCGGTCACCTGGAGTGGGTGGAGGTGACCACATCTACTGGATTTGTAACAGCTGCCAAGTCACGAAGCAACGTGCACGTTTACTGAAGCACCCCGGTGATACCAAAGGAGTGCCAAGGGCCGGGCTGCCCTCCAAGACATACTCTCAGCTAACCAAAGCAAAGTCACCCTGAGCTCTGCAGTGCCCTCCATACAGGCTCAAGGGGCACAACCTTGGAGCTGTACTGAATCCAGATGCAGAAGACACCCTCTCCCCCCACATCCCCTCTCAAAAGTACACACAGTCCAAAATAAATAAGCATCAGATCTGTAGGCATGTTCTCACACGCACACACGCTCGTAACCCCTGAGGTATACTGGCACAGAAATGCTGTCCACACACAGAGACCCTCGCCTGCAAGGAAGGAAATCGGGTTTCTGAGTACTCTGGGTACCTCTGAGAATTTAATTCTTTGGGGTAGATTCTGCTCTGCAGAGCAAATAACTGCCCAGACCCAGCTGTCTACAAAGTCTTTACACAGTCCAGCGTGTAAGGCCACCTTACACCTGTCTTTCTGCTGGGGTAGGGTCTGTGGCAGTGGAAGGTGGGGGGGAAATAAATTGGGAATGGAGAAGGAAAGGGTAGAAGGATGCTCTGGTTGAGGTTTCCAAGTGATCCTTCGATATCTTATCCTTTTAATTTGGTGTTACTTATAGTGAGAGGCAGATGACTCAGGATTTGGAAATGCAAAGACAACCTCTTAACCTCGCTGCATATTCCTTAGCTGCTGCCGAGACCTTTACTTCTTCAGCTGGAGAGAAACGATACACTAGCTGAAGAAAAGATGAGTGATCAAACCCAGCCTCCAGGTAACTTCATATGACATGAAATGAGTTACCAAAGGGAGGAACTGAACATAATGGTTTGGAGGGATTGGGGAAAACAGTACCTAAATTACACAGACAAAAAAATTACTTACTTAAGTATGTTTTATCTCTAGAGAAGGATAAAGAGGTGAGATTTTGTTCAATATACTTAAATTTTCAAAATATTTAAGAAAAGAAAAAAAATTCTCTGTTGAGTTGCCCTCTGGTCTTGTGAAATCTGAGGTAGATTTGTTTGGTACTTGGGGAACTGGAACAAACAGGACTAGAAAACTGGGTTTGTAAGAGAGAAATATTTGCATTTCTCCAGGCATGGCTACCAATCACATAGAGGAACTGGCCCAGCTCTCTAGCTGGTGTAAATCAGCATCTCTAGCCTTTGACAAGCACAACGTGGTCCTCTCACTGACTGTCAGAGACATGGCAGCACATCAGATAGGTGAAATGGAACAATCCCAGGAAATAAGGAATGAGTTGGTGGATGGGATAATGCTGATCTGCCACATAACCACAGTAGCTAATCTTGATTTTATAATGATGCAGGTATATCTCCAGGAATCTGTATATACAGATCCCCATCCGATTTATTTGGTTTTGCTGGGATTTTGAAGGACAGGCTCAATTATCCAACCCTCCCCTGATATCTGGCCCAGCTCACAGCCCCCAAATTTGTAAAAAATAAACCGTGAGCTATCTGAAACCTTAATTATCTGATGCCTGCTGTGACATCCAGATAATCAGGGTTGCTCAGCGCATCGATTCTCAGGATCTAACCTTCTCTTCTGCTGCTTGGACCTGCTATTGGGGTGTCTAGACTCTCTGTGGCTCTTTGTGGATTCCCACCATGAGCTACTAGTTCATCTGGCCACTGGGAGGAGCCATCCACTTGCTCCCTGTCCAGCTCAGGGCTCTGTACTGAATCTGGCACTGACTCAAAAGCACTGTTCTCCTCCTCCTCATCATCCTGGGAGGAAAAGACCGTGCTCTCAGAAATCTTTGCACTGTCGACGGAGGAGAAGCGGGTATGGCTGGAGAAGCGATTGTTACTGTCGTAACAGGAGGTGCTGTAGCAAGAAGTGCTGTAGCAGGAGGTACTGTAGCAGGAAGTGCTGTAGCAAGAGGGGCTGTAGCAAGAGGCATCACACGCCTCACATTCGTTGTCACCGTTGGGCCTGGAGCTCGACTCGCTCTCGCTTAGTGTCCTGGGGTGTTCCCCATCCAAGAGCCCATCATTTAAGTCAGAGAGTTGCTCATCGAAGGTCCCAGGAGGCACCACCGTGCTCTGGCTGAAGTTCTCTTCAGCCTCATTTTCCAGAGGAGGCTCTGCTGCCACCGTCTCACTTTCACTGACCATCTCCTTGTCCAACGCCTCCTTGACTGTAGACTCCTCATCGTTCTCTCCACCGTTGCCACCATCTTGCTCTTCTTCCCCATCGCTGCTCATCCGTGCCGAGGGCAGGCTGTGCAGCAGGTTGTGGATCCGTATGTAGTGCGTGCGAGGGGTCTCTGGCTCACCACAAGCTGAAGCTATCACTGTCTCCAGTTCAGACACGGGCAGGGAGCACGGCCTGTTTTTCCTCTTTGCTGTGGTCCTCAGCTGTAGCTTGTTGTCTTCCTCCTCCTGGGCTGAAGCCCCTTCTTCTTCCTGACTCTTCTCTAGGTCCTTGCCAGCATGCACATCTGCACTCACCTCATCGACATCTAACGTTTCTACGCTGGTCAAGACTCCACCATCTCCCTGAATACCAGAATTGACCTTGATATTTTCCCTAACTTCAGTCTCAGGAGGAGACACGCAAGCCAGCAGAGCCAGCTGCTCCGTGAGGTCCGTAGCACTCAAAGAAGGCAGCATTTCTCCTGGGACGGATTCCAAGGGCTCAGGAACTGGCACCGCATCAACCTCCCCATCTCCTGCTAGCTCTTCATTTAAGCTGTTCTGGTTGAGTTCCCCAGGTGGTTTGACAGCCCCTGGGCTATTGACACTGTTCACACCGTATCCATTTAGCTGTTCTGGAGCTGTACTTTCTGAGGTCACTGTGTTGATGCATGGAGGCTCACCGAGGCTTTCCTCCGTGGGGTTGTTCACAGGGCTTTCCTGGAGGTCAGCTGGCTCAGGATCTGCACTAATGGAGACCTCTTCATCATCTGTATGAGAAAGGAAAAGAAATCACTTATTCCTTTAACAAGAAGTGTTGAGTGAACCAAAAGTTTGGCTGTGGGGGCACAGGCATCCACAGCAATCTGAGAAAATTAAAGGCATAAATTACAGTGTGAAATGAGTGGGCAACTGAGCAACTATCAAGAAATGCTGCTTTTTTTTTTGGCTAGGCAGTCTTTGTACAGCAGATTTAACAATCCTGGGGCTTACCCACGGTGGTAATCTGTATGCAGCATCCAGCCTCCTTGCAACATAACCTAAAGGTAACACCTTCTTGAAACTCCTCTTTGAGCCAAACTGGCGTTGGAGGGAATATCATGGGAATGACAAGGAAGTTCTCCCTGAGGTTTTTCTTGTCATGCTGAAGCTGACAGAAGCCCACAACAGAGAACTTAAATAACTGTTTTTTCACACCCATGAATAGTGGAAACATTCTCCAAAACATCCTTTGATGTGATCCTCATCTGTACCACCCTCCTCCCAGATGCCAGACGACCTGGGCTCTTTCACACCATCCAAAGCGAAAAGACAGAAGCTGGGGTTTTCCAGCAAGGGGCAGGTCATGATTTCAACCCCTAATGCAGCTGCTGTTGGCTTGACAAAGTGCACCTGAGAGGGCAGCACTACAGAGAGGCAAAAGGTCCCTGAGCAACACTATTGAGATTTTAACATGAAAACCAAGGTTCAAACTTACACCACCAATGCCAGTGACTTCCTAGTAACTAAGAGAATGTGAACCAAAACCAAACCAAAAGGGAGGGAAGGAGGGGAACACTGCATTATTTTTTGCTTTACTTTTTATGTTTAAAATAATAAAAATGAGAAAGTTTTTAATCATCACTTTTTATCACTATTACATTCTCCATTTTTACTCATGAAGTGCTCAAATGCAGGTGACTACAAATGACAGCCCACCTAGCACTTCTCCAGGACAGGTGAGAGAGAAACAGGTCAGACTTTAGTTTTCCACTCTCTTCTCTCCCAGTGATGTGTCAGAGTATTTGAAGCACCCAAGAACAAGAGGATACAAGACACCAGTAGCTCTAAGCTAAGGGGAAACAGGGAAGAAGTTGTGACTCATGATGCATCCTGTGACGGGGGGACTTTATGCGCTTCCCCTTGCTCATGACTGCACCTAAAGTCCCAGAGCAGCCAGGAATGAATTCAGATTTCTGAGGAGAAAGAATGCAAAGCAAAAAAAAACCCCCCAAAATCTAGATAAATGATGGGTTAAGACTGAGAATTACCTGGATGGATGGAAGAAGTTATCTCAAATCGGAACTGCAGCTGGCCACTGACGTGATCGGTAGGAAGCCTGCGACCCAGAGTGTAGCTTACAACTCTGTCCCTGAAAGAAAACAAATATCGTCACAATAGACCATAACCTACCCAATGTCTGCTGTGCATAGAGAAAGCTGCTGTGTCCCACAGAAATACATCATGGTGTTCGAAGGCTATTCAACCCAGCCATGAGGGCGTGTTGACTTGCGTACGAGAGAACGAATGGCAGAGAAGGAGAGGACAATGTCTTCAATTACAATGGAACAGCTGAGTCAGTGAGTAAGACAGGCTTCTGGGATACACAAGCACGTATGGGGGGATATAGAGAACGGTGGGAATGGAGCTTCTGCAGCATGGGTATGAAAATATCGACATGGGAAGCAAACAACTCCCACTTCAGCTAGCGTAAAAGACCTCACTTTCTTGCTGCTCTGACCACATCTACCCTTCTGCAGAACCTTATGTTTCTGTACGTCCTTCCCTTCACCGTCTGCATTCAATTCACCTTTCCTGTCCTTTCTTTCAAAATCCTGTACAGGCCAGTCCCCGCTTACCACCTTCTCTTTTCAAACTGGCTAAATGACTGCTCTTCATCTATTTCCACCCCTCTTACCTCTATGAAGCTGAAATATCAGGAGAACACCTTCCTGACAAGGTTGATCAATGACTCCATTCTGTCCTTGTGCAGGTCCCTCCCTTTGCCACACTTCATCCACCCCTCAGAACAGAATGAAACTATAGAAGAGATTAACTTCCCAGCTGCCCAAAATGAGGCTGAATCAATGTTTGCAAAGCATTTTTGGAGTGTAAAGGGTTCACTAAATAGTAACATTATACATCTTCGGAACAAACATAGCTCACTACCAGTTGGGCCCAATAGATTTGCTAGGATAGTTCTCATGCATCTGAATCTCTCATAAATGAGACAATCAAGATTTGTGTATGATCCTCCTGAACTTGTGTGTACACTTCTCTGTTGAATTTGCCTGATTTAAAAGGCACTCCAGCGTTAAAACTAAGCCAGATCTAGGTGCAGGTTGGAATCACTAGTCTTGGCAAAGTATATCCTTAGATAGACAGTGTTTACGATGAGGAAGTAAAATAGGAAGATATAATCGGAAGATGATGAGAAATCTTCTCATAGAGAGGGAAGCTAGTGACATCAGTTACAGGGCTCCACCTTCCCCCAAGCTGTTCTTTTCCATCTGCTTTCTAAAAAGCTACTCTATCTTCTCGACTTGAGAAACAGGGAGGTAGCTTAGTCCCTTCTGGTAGATTCAGCTGTTCATATCACAGCCAGTTTCTGAACCAGCTGTTCAAAAACACTTCCAACAAGCTCAGCTTCCTGCTGTTCTAATGAACCCAGATCCAATTTTCAAAAATGCCTTATTGGGAACCGCATTGCCTGCGCTCTCCTCAGTAGATGACTCTCTCTCTCTCTCTCTTTGCTTCTCAAGGTCTGAACCGTAAAGTTTAGAGCCAGCTTTTTGGCTTTGTCTGCATACTATCCATCTTCCTAAAATCGGTTTGTGTTACTTTGGCAGCACACACCTTCCCAGGACTTTCATGCCAAGGGGAAGCAGGACAGGGCTGGTGAGCTCAAGTGAACTGGTTATTCCTTGGCAGCAGGGTAGGGTCAGAAAGATTTAGTTACAACATGTCACATTTTTAAAATAATATTTCCACTGTCTAGAAAACCAAGGGAGAAGGAACAGATCTGGCATGATTTTAGCCTAGGTAATTCCATGATACGTGAAAACAGCCTGTTGATAACAATAAAATAATATCCAAATTGAAAATATTGCACTCTCCAGATTCACAGCCATGATACACACACAAAACCATTTTCTTCCCTAAATGCCAGCTCTCACTTTTCAAAATGCAATGGATAGGGTCATAGCGTGAATTCTTTGTCAGGCCCATAGTCTTATAAATTCTAATTAAGACCAACATCATTCATCAGGCAACTGTCAGTTTAATAACTCCCCCTCAACATCATTATATCAACTATAATGATATATCACCAGGGACTTCCAAACAGCGACACACTTGTTAAACGACAAAAAATAGCATAAGCAGCAAATTTACCCTATGGCGTGTCTCTCCAAGAGGCGCTGAACCGGCATCGAGAGTTTTCCCAGGAAACGCTTGATGATCGGCCGGCTCTTTGCAAATTTGTCTTTAACTTCTATTTCCAGGACATCCGTGGGCAGGGAGACAAAGTTGAATTGCTGCAATAAAAGGAAGAGCACAGAACGTGAAGGTGGTGGCCAGGCCACAACAACACGCGGCTGCTGGAGGCTTATTGATCTCTGGAAGTCTGGATTTTTCACAGGACAGGAAGAGTCCCTGGACTCCAAGGCACAGGCCTGCAAGATAGAAGAGCTTGGCCCCTAAGCAGGCAGATGAAAGCACCCCACAGGTACTGTGTAATGCTGCACAACCGGGCTTGGCAATGCAGGAATTTCATTTATTCACGTCATGGTATCATCCAAACACTCTAAGAAAGCCATGTCGATGGTAAGGTCAATACACCTGCAGAGATCTAATGAGCTCTGCCCTAGCAATGATTACTGATCTAAATCTAATTACACAGCTTCTAGTTTTTTCCCCCCTCTCCCCCCCTGCCAGGTTCTAAAAACTTTAAACATCTGCATGGAAGTACAACTGAAATGGCAGCCTGGGGAGATGTTTAGTCAGCATTTCCCTCCAAGTGAAATTAGAACCATAGAACGGTTTGGGTCAGAAGGGACCTTTCAAGGCCACCTAGTCCCAAGCCCTGCTGTGAGCAGGGACATCTTCAACCAGATCAGTTGCTCAGAGCCCCGTCCAACCTGACCTTGAATGTTTCCAGGGATGGGGCTTCTGCCACCTCTCTGGGCAACCTGGGCCAGGGTTTCACCAACCTCAGTGTAAAAAATGTCTTCCTTATATCTAGTCTGAATCTCCCCTCTTAGTTCAAAACCATTTCTCCTTGCCCTTTTGTTACAGGCCCTGATGAAAAGTCCAGAGCTGGACACAGGACTCCAGGTGGGGTCTCACCACAGCTTCCAAGCACAGGAGAATTAGGGCACCTGGAGATGTTGGGATCTCACCACAGGGAAAGCAAAGCTTTATTTAGGAGTAACAGTGAAAAGCAAATGTAGACGATAACTTGGCCTGCTTGCTCTTAGGCTGGCTAAATTCAGTGCAGACTGGGAGCTGGTGACACAGGTCACTGAGTCCTCATTTCCAAACAGATCTGCTACTATTAGAATATCATCAATTTAAAAAATAATTAAAAAATTTAAAAAGCAGATCTCTGCTGTGGTGTGCCATAGTAGCAAAACTGTGAGGAGTGCTGTTCACCTAACTGAAAGGTCAGTATTGAACTGGAAGACAGCTTCTGCAGTAAGTGAATACTGAGATGGATTAAAGGATTTTCTAGCTTTCCTGCTGCCAAAAACAATCTTCACAACAGAATCATGCTCTGGGTTACCTAGGCCTGGAGTTAAGCCCTAAATTGCTTCCTCTATCATGATCTAATTTTCAGAATGAATCATGATCTAATTTTCAGAAAAACAGCTTCAAGTGAAACCAGTGTGAGTGGGATATTCTGTTAATCAGGCCCTTCAAAAATGCAAATTAACAGGGAAATACAATTCAAATAGCAGCTAAAGTGTTACTTGCTTCTTCGTCATTTTCTCCTACATCTTTGCAACAGGTTACCAAAGATAATAAACCCAACAAAGGGCAGAACATTAATTCCTCATGTATATTGAAAGTTGCCCTATAAAAATAAGTAGTATTACCATTAATGTTTCATCTGCTAAAAACCTTGGGTAACTGCCACTTCGTGACACTTACGAGGAAAGCAGAAGAAAGGAATTAACTCTTAACTGAATGAGGTTATTGTAACGTACAGCGATTTGCCATTTAATGGATTCTCCATTATTATGCTGATGACACTTGCATTGTACAGAAGTCTCGGTGGGGTTGAGCACACACACAGGTAAAGACTGAACTGTTCATAAGTGGGAAGTAAAACGTAGGTTAACGATCTGCACCTTCCTCTGTAATTACTACTTTGTCTTGTGGCACAATTCTGAAGCAAATCAGAATCTGCGTGGATGTTTGTTTCCATAGTGTCAGGTGGAACCAACCCTCTTCTTGCACAAGAAACATTTTCCAGAGTAATTATCAGCACCCAAGTGCTCAGAGACTATGGATGCATGGAGTTAAGGTGTGTTGGAATCAACCAAAGGAAACGTCCTTTTTCCTTTCAACAGCTGTGCCTCTCCAATGTGCAAAGCTAATCAACACTTGTTCTGGAGAACAAGTCTTATGAGGAGCGGCTGAGGGAACTGGGGTTGTTGAGCCTGGAGAAAAGGAGGCTGAGGGGAGACCTTCTGGCTCTGTCCAACTCCCTGAAAGGAGGTTGGAGTGAGGTGGGGGTCAGTCTCTTCTCCCAAGTGACAGGACAAGAGGAAGTGGCTTCAAGTTGGGTCGGGGAGGTTTAGATTGGATCTGAGGAAAAACTGCTTCACCAGAAGGGTGGTCAAGCGTTGGAACAGGCTGCCCAGGGAGGTGGTGGAGTCACCTGCCCTGGTGGTATTCAAAAGATGGGTGGACAGGGTGCTGAAGGACATGGGTTAGAGGAGGAATTGGTAGTGCTTGGTTTATGGTTAGACTTGATGATCTTAAAGGTCTTATTCAATCACTATGATTCTACCATCAAACCCTAATTTCTCTGTCTTCCTTCACCTTCTTTTAAGACAAGTGCCAGCCCCTGTACCTCAGTCACAAAACACTGGCTGCATTAATACTGTGCAAGCCTTGGCTTTTTCCTGTCTCTCTGAAACAGAGAGGACCCTGTGCTTCATGGTCTTCTCCAATATAACTACCGTAACACATCAGTATTGTACTACCACTGGAATAAACGACATCCTTTTCTTGCCTAGCATTTGCTAATTGTCACGGCCACAGCCAGCTTGTGAAGATGACAGCGTAAGCTTCATATCTAAATTGGGAAAAAAACCCCAAACCATGGATTATAAATTCTGCAGTACTCTTGGGTTCACACTCAGTGATGTTGTGATTAATAATTCATCCCAAAGAGGGGAGAGAAAAGGAGGCGATACGATCATAACAGAGATAAAAAGCGACTCTTTTCAGGATGAGGAAAGCTTGATGGGGCTCCTTACATGTGCCCACAAACTACACCACCGATAACCAAAACTGCTGCATTTTAAGAATAAATCTGCTGCCAGTTTTTGATGTTACTATCACGATTTTTCCCGCAAGTCTTCTGTTATTTGGAGCTTTTCTTATCACAACTCTTAGTATCACAGAATAAACTCAGAAATTAAGCTGTCACATTAAACAAGTATAACGCCATGGCTGCAGAGAAAGACAAGAATACCAAAACTTTAGTACAATGACCCCAAATATATTATTTTAAAGCGACTTCTGATTTTTCTGACAGTCACTCCTTGAAGCTACATTCTTGTACGCTTTGCAGTTGGCATGGGCTACCACACATTTTCTTTCACAAGCTAAGACAGCCATCTTTAAGCTGTTTACTTCCACGGGGGGCACAGCCCATTTTGTGGGCTTGTTCATTGGCTGGAGTTTTTTTCCCTCAAAAATTTAAGTTCCTTGAATCACAAATGTTTAGTTTGAACTCTGCAAGACTGGCCAAGAGCTTCATGGAACCTCCTGGAATCCGAAACACTAAAGTTTACACTGAGACTAACTGCAGTAGAGTGTACTGAAGTTTACATAGATGGGCTTTTTTCACAGTCAAAGAGCAAAGTGACAACATAATTTCTGGCAGTTTTTAAATTCCGATATCCTGACTTAACTTTTTCAGAAGGTTTAGCCTGTCCAGCTGTCCAGAGGTCCTCCAACTTGACAGTGGCTGCATGGACGTGGTTTGTGACTTTGAGGGTTTCTTTGTACTTTAATATAAAAAGTCTCAAAGGCAAAAATGGATTTCAACACAGATGCAAACTCATCTACAAAAACAGCTACAGTTTCAAGGAAAAGTCTTTGCCTAATGACTGATTATGTATTTATTTGGATAACAGCAGAAAACAGGACAGCTGGGAAGAACAACCCACAAAAGCTCTAGAACTTGAGGTTTTCACTTGATCCCTAAGCAAAAATCAAGTAAAACACATTATATAAAAAGCCTCTTACAGGGTGTCACTGGACCTGAAATTTCTAGTTGATCTACAACAGTGAGTGGATAACAAAGAAGTCGTTAAATCTCCAAGATGATTAATTTTCTTTACATAAACAGATCTTGTGGAGGTTTAACATGTGACTTACACATGGTAAAGAATGAAGGGACACGCTAACGCTGACCTGGCAGAACACATCTGTATCCATTTAGAAGATAACAGAACCATTTCCAGGTCTTCAGAAAGTTTTCATAGAAAGTCAACTAATGACGATGATTAATTACCATGGGTTTTTTTATTATTATTTGCATGCCTGAATATGGCCAGATCACACCAATCAGCTCTCAGTAACGCTATCAAGGATCTTGTTGGAATGATCAGAATTATGTACATCAGCACCAATTGGACAAGTTAAGTGCAAGTCTCTAAAAACAGTCAGTATACTAACTGGTGAAAGGTAGGTAAATTAATACACTGGTGACAGGAAGAATTAGGCTTTTGATTTGGAGTTGAATAAGAAATACAATTAAAATTTATTTGTGATATCTGTCATGCCAGAGGGATGATACAAGCAGAAGTAAATCTTAAAAGGCTGGAAATTACATTTGATGGGTAAAGATAGATTTAGTCTTTCAGCTGAGTATTTCATTAGTGGGTTTTTCATTTCAAACACACCAGCAAAACAATTACACTCTTGATGCACTCGCCACTCTCCATCTGTATTACTCTGCTCCCCATTCAAAAGCCTCCTCCACATACCACAACTGTCCCATACAACATAAGCTCACGGGGAATTCCAGTTTCTTGACCTTACTGCAGCATTCCTCAATGCCAATACAAAATACTGCCGAGTCAGTAGTGTCAAGGACAGAGCTCCACTGCTGCCCATGTGTCCAGTTCTGGGCTCCCCAGTACAGGAAGGACATGGAACTCCTGGAGCCTGTCCAGCCAAGGGCGACTGAGATGATTAAAGGACTGGAGCATCTTTCATATGAGGAAAGGCTGAGGGAGCTGAGCCTGTCCAGCCTGGAGAAAAGACGACTCAGAGGGGATCTGATTCATGTTTA